GCCAAGCAGAGAGGTGCAAAGTACCCTAGGAACTGATGTGTGCATCCATTTGAAATGACTTCAGCAGACACTGTTACTAGGAGTCCATGGATTCCAAGCTCACCTATCCCTAGCTCTAACACCCACTTGAAGAGATTCAAACCTTCAAAAGAGTATGTTTGTAGGGTCCCAAATCTCAGTACAATGCATGTGAATGGCTTTAGGCGCATGCAGTCACCAGGAAAGGCTTAGGGGAGTGATGGATGTTGCTGGTGTGCATGCAGGAGCATCCAGTGCAGGGATGATGGGGTGCAGGGAGGGTCCCTCTGGGTTCTAACTTTGTCTAGACTTTATCAGTCATCTGGAAAAAGAGGATGACACTTGCCCTGCCAGTGTCACAGGTTGGTCGCTATGGGGCCTACAAGTGCAGTGGCCCAAAAACAACACAGGTTTGGCCTGCAAGGGTCCTGTTAGAGGCTGATATGAGTCCATCAATAAGAGTTGAACCTCCTGTCTTCGAGGGCCCCTGATGCCCCATTTGATTAAGCATGGAGAAGTGAAGAAAGATGCTTAAGAGACAGGCTAAGGAAGAGGACCTCGGAAAAGATTTTCTGAAAAGAAAATATTGAATAAGTGGTAAAAGAAGCAAAAATATCTGTTGTCAGAATAACCAATAGAGGAGGAAATTTTAGCAAAAAAGAAGATTGTCAATCATATCCCATATCTCAGAGAGCAAAGAAGATGAACACTGAAAAGTGGCTACTGATCCTTATTTTTTTTTTTTAAAGATTTATTTATTTATGCATACAAGAGCTGGGATACAGGCCAGAGATGCGGTGGGTGAGAGGATTCACCAGAGACAGAGCGGGGAACAGAACAGCCCTACTGAAATGTTAATGATAAGGTCGCTTGTGCCTCCGGAAAGAGCAGTTTGTGTGTGTGTGTGGGGGGGGGGGAATAATGAACAAGGGGCAATGGATAAGGACCTACTGCATAATGAAAAGAAACATGAGTTCCCTAAACAGTGAGGGAAAGAGAAAAGAGCATTGAAGTTTAAAATGGCAGGGGAGGGCAGTGGGTGAGTGTGATGACTCCACTCTTTGTCAATTCACTGCCCGCCTTTGTCTGTTAGAGAGGCAGGATGGTGCAATGGTTACATTGGCTTTGGAGCCAGGCTGCTTGCATTTGCATCCTACCCCTCAACTCCTATGTAAATTAACTTCTTTTTCCTTAGTCTCCTCATCTGGAAAATATAATGTAACCGCTTCTTAGGTGTTTTTTTGTTTTTTAAAGAATAAGCACACTGGGCACATAGCAAATGTTAGCTATCAATATCATTATTGCTATTATTATCATCAGTACTAATTTGAAAATTCTGACTTTCTCCCAGCAATAGCTATTGTTCTTGCTCTTGGGCACTGATTTACAAAGTGTGGTCCAGGAACCTCCTGGGTTGGGAGTTGGGCGTATCCCTGAAACTCCTTCCAGGTGACCAAGGCCATTTTCGTGTGTGAAAGCATGATTTGCCTTTTCACTCTCATCCTCTCAGTTTTCCAGAGACAATGTGATGTCTGATATTGCAACAGACTAAAGCAGATACAAATGTGAAAATGCAGCTTTCTTCCATTAAGCCAGACAAAAAAATTGCTTTTCAAAAATGTAATGAATGCCACGCTTCTTAGTTATTTTTATTGTGTTTTGGAAAGTAGTTAATATTTTTTAAAAATGTTATTTACGTCAACTTTTAATTATTGTATTTTAGGTGATTTCAAGCTAAATATTTAAAAATATATCCATTTTAATTTATTTTTTAAAAAGATTTAATTATTTATGCATACAAGAACGAGTGTAAGCCAGAGGTACAGGGAGGGGGTGAGTGGATTCACCAGAGAGAGTGGGGAGCAGAACAAGCAGATCTACTGAGCAGCAGGTGAGAAAGGAGAGGTCTGCTGAGCCAAGTGGGTTGCTGCCTGGCCAGCCAGGGATCGAACTCGTGCTGCAGTAGCTGGCAACAGCTTGATAGTGCTGTGTCTGTAACCCCTGTGCCACCAGTGAGGTCCATCCATTTTAATTTCTAATATAGTAAATATTCAAAAGATATCATCCACATAGACAAAAAGTTCTTTGAGGGCACCAAAAAAGGATATAAAGTGAAACAAACACGAAAAACTTTGAGACGCTCTGCTTTAGGGACAAAGTCATAATCAGAATAGGAAATGTTAACTACTTTGTATACTTTCTCTGGTCATGCCAGACCACTTGCTTTTCCCCAAGGAAATGATTTATCAATACATTCATAGCTCTGAATCTCAGTTGGTGTTATTCTCTCAACTGAGATGTCTGTTCACCTTCTTTGTCAAAACTCTGCACATCCTCTAAGACACCTATTACCTAAACTTCATTAGCTTATGATGGTGATGTAGGTCCTTAGCTTTCCTTCTCAGATGCTGCCCACAATCAAGTGTGTTTATGTTCCTTGCCCAGACATTTTTTCTTATTGTTCACCAATCACAAACACAGAAGCAGCTACCCTGCATTCATAGCAGAAGTGGAAAGGTCTCCTCACCTCCACTCTGGCCCCTGTGGCCTCCGAGAGGACCCTTCTTCCCTGCCAGCGGCACTGCTCTCCACCTTCTCAACGTTGGAAATCCTGGAGCTGAGCAACCACACCCCTTTAGTTCTCACTTATGAGGTGGAGCCATGCTCCAATCTGAGCCAAGTAGGAAAATCACCCCCTCGGGCGTTTGCTGAATTCCATCATGTGAGCCTCCAAGTCCAGCTTACTGGATTTATTCACTGACTCTCACAAACCTGCTACTTTAGTTTTTGCTCACAAGCACCTTTCTACCAGAATCAGACATACTCTGGGCTTACATGAGAAAGGCAGTACTCCCCCTCCCTATATCTTCATCTCTCTTGAATTCTTCAGGGGCTCAAGCACTGAAAATACCATCTTTACAACAGTAGCACTTCTGCCAGCTTCTGAATTTTAATTTAAGCTAGCTAGCATGTCATCAGTCATCTTTATTATTATCAGTCATCTTTATCATTCTAATCCTTGTATTTATTCTGACCCTTAAAATAATTCTGCAAGGAATGTTATCCCGTTGCATTAAGTTATTGCTGTGTAACAAATTACCACCCCCCAAAAAAGAACTTAGTGATGTTAACAACATTTATTATCTCACAATTTCTGAGGGTCAGGAGTCTAAGCTGGCTTGGCTGGGTCCTCTGCTTCACAGGCAGCAAGTAAGGTGTCCACTGGGGTTGTGGTCATCTCAAGACTCAACTTGGAAATGTTATAGGACAGGGAGAGGGGCAGCCCAAGCCCCGCAAACCTGCCTATTCTAAATGGGTTCTGCCATCCGCCGCATCAACACAAAACATATGAGACTTTAATGGGAAGGATCTTTAATAAAACTAGGAAACAATACAGGTAAGGCAAAGAGTCTAGTTTCTAAATGAAGCACCCAAAGTTACCCGTCCCCTCGTGGGTAAAAGTCCATCCAAATGGGATTGACCCAGAACAAGGCCCCAAAGCCTGCCACAAGTCTAAAGCACCTTCCAGTGGGGACCCACAGAAAAGGGTCACAAACAACCGGACAAGCCCGGAAGGAAAAGAGCAAAATCAACATCAAGATAAAAGCTGCCATGGTCACCTCCCCATGGGTCTCACCCACATCTGTGTCACCCAGTCCACGACCAAAAGACAAGCGCAGTTTCTTTACGTGTCTCTAGGCTCCATGCGCCTCCTCCAGGTCTCCTGGCTCCATCCTGCTTCCTTCCTTAGTCTCTTCTGCAGCTTCTCCTCTTCCTGCTCAGCTCCACCCTCCCTTGGGTGGGGCAGGGAACCTCCCCCTTTCCTGGGGACCACCCTGTTACAGAAAGACTGTGCTTTCAGGCTCAAGGCTGTTGGCAGGAATTAGCTCCTTACCGGCTGTTGGCTGGAGGTCTCCCTCAGTTCTCTGTCACATGAGGCAATGCTAATATGGCAGCTTGCTTCTTCAAATCCAGAAAATAATAGAGAAAATCCAGTAAAATGAGGAAATTTCATGGAAGTGACATCCCATCACTTTGACAGTTTTCTCTTTATTAGAAGCAAGTCATTAGGCCTAGCCTACATTCAAGGCAAAAGGATTACACAAGGATGTAAATACCAGGATCATCAAGGTCATCTTCAAAGAGACCTGCCACATTTATTTTCTTACATGGTGATACTTAAACTCGATAAAGTTCAGTATTCAACCAAGGTCACTCAGAACTTGGCAGAGCAGGATTTGTACCTTCTGACCCCAAAGCTTATTTCTAGCATTATGTCATATATTCCACATTATGTCTGTCACTGTGGCTCTTCCTTATTCAACTGCAACCTTATTAAAGTCAGGGGATGCTTATATCCATCATGGTGATAAAAAATGTTGGTGAGTAGATGGATAGATGAATGCATCAACTAAAATCCATATGTTAGAATTGTACATATAGAAACTGCTAAACCAGGGTTGGAAATAGAAATCCAAGACTGTAAAACATAGCATGTATCAAATTGAGAAAGGAGCAATGTAAGCAACAGAGGTAACCCAAACACACTGTTGACCTCATGGAGTTTTTTAAAGTTCTCTTTCCTTCTATGTGAAATATGGCCTTTCTGTTTTGGTGGGCAGACACAAAGTCCATATATTACTAGAATTTAGAGTAGAATGGCCAAGAATGCTCAAAAGGTATTGTGGAAAAAGCTACAGCCTCTTCCCAACCCAAATGTACTTAACCTACGTATTTACATTTATTTACCCGAGAAAGTCCAAACCTGTCACTGTGCTGTTTAAAAGGAAAAATGATTGTAACAGCCAAAATATTTATGCTAAAAGTGACTGAAGGAGAAAAAAAAAATCCACGCAAATTTGGAAATTTGGATCATTCTTTCACTTCCATGATAACTGGGTTATTTTTATATTAGTAAAATATCGTCCATAAGTGTTATAGGACAGGGAGAGGGGCAGCCCAAACCCCGCAAACCTGCCTATTCTACATGGGTTCTGCCATCCGCCGCATCAACACAAAACATAGGAGACTTTAATGGGAAGGAACTTTAATAAAACTAGGAAACAATACAGGTAAGGCAAAGAGTCTAGTTTCTAAATGAAGCACCCAAAGTTACCCATCCCCTCGTGGGTAAAAGTCCATCCAAATGGGATTGGCCCAGAACAAGGCCCCAAAGCCTGCTAAAAGTCTAAAGCATCTTCCAGTGGGGACCCACAGCAAAGGGTCACAAACAACCGGACAAGCCCGGAAGGAAAAGAGCAAAATCAACATCAAGATAAAAGCTGCCATGGTCACCTCCCCACGGGTCTCACCCACATCTGTGTCACCCAGTCCACGACCAAAAGACAAGCGCGGTTTCTTTACGTGTCTCTAGGCTCCATGCGCCTCCTCCAGGTCTCCTGGCTCCATCCTGCTTCCTTCCTTCCTTAGTCTCTTCTTCAGCTTCTCCTCTTCCTGCTCAGCTCCACCCTCCCTTGGGTGGGGCAGGGAACCTCCCCCTTTCCTGGGGACCACCCTGTTACATAAGGATAATAGAACTAATAGCCCTGATTTTTTGGTGGATACTTTTAATATGCATTTTGTTCAGGTAGTTCTCTTGTTCTTGCTTTTGACAGGGCCTCTGTAATATGATTTCATATGAATGTTTAGGGGATTAAATGAGAATTCACTGAAAAATAATTGGTGACCCTATCACTTTCTGTCTTCTACTGTACATTTAAATTTTATTTTTCTGGTTGGGGTCTTGCAGAAAGCATAGCTCTGTAGAACTGACCAGAAGCAGTCATGATGCAGCCTAATATGAAGGGGAGGAAAGCAGCAGTCAGAAAGTCCATAGTCTGAGATGGTTTGTGATATTCCCACATAGAGCTGGACTGTAAGTACTAAACTATTTTTCATAGCAATCACAAAAAGAACCTGCTGCACCTCCCCCTGCAGTGACCTTTAGGGCTAATGGCTTTCGCCAAGGTCCCTAGGTCCAGCTGGGCAAGGAACCAGCGCGCAGGGGAGTACAGCAAAGTTCCCTGAAGACATAGATAAGACAGAAGCTTATCAAAAGATTACAACCACCAGGAGCTAAAAAACCTTATCTCATCTTTCTAGAACTACAAACTTTATCCCTTTATTGTCTTTCTAAACTTCCTTCTTTCTTCTATAAAGGTCATTTGTTGTTAATTAAAAAATCATATGAAATCCTTAACACAAGACTGACTCAAATGAAACGTTACTAAACCCTGTAATAATTAAAATATAGTTTAGATTAAAAAAAGTAGTTAGTAAAACAAAAAATGCGATCATATAGTTTAAAAACAAAACTAATGGTCTATCTACTTAGGAATGAGGTAAATCACTCAGTGATAAGCTAAATCCATTCACTGTTCTGTGCTTTTGGAAACATATATATACTGGCAACTAACTTAAATAAAATGGCACTCAGATTTACACTCTCTCTTGAAGTGTGTCTGTTTGTCATTTCTTCAGCCGAATCCCTGACCACCCTGCGCAGTCTCTCAATCCTAAGACAGCCTCATCGTTCACTGTTGTGCTGGTCCGCGGCAAGAACCCTTTCTGAAAAGTGGGAATATGATTAACAACATTGCTGAAAACAAATTTTCAAAAAGTTTTCTGTTGACTAGATCAGTACAATGCAAGAATCTATTCCAGAGAAGAGTCACCTAACAGTGGTACTAACTAGCTTTTGTTATTTTTCTAAAAATGTGAGCACAGTAGCTCAAGAACAGCAACTTGCTAGGCAATCCCTCCATGACCTGGGTACCCAGAGACATAAATTTAGTAGCTGAGACATGGGAATCTAACTGTGTGACTATCCCACTCTACTTTCTATTTCTAATTCAGAAAGGAAACTTAGAGAAAGTTATCAACAAGAGCACGAGTCTCCAGAAAATCCTACACTTAAGAAACATTTCCACACTTTTGAAAGATCCTGTAAATCTGCTGATATTAGTGTTGAGTGTCTTTACTTGCAAGTGGAGGCCTTGGAATTGGCATTATACAAGCTGTAGCTTCATGACAGTGGAGCTGCACATTTCAAAAAGTTTACAGTTGGAATTTTTTTTCCTGGGAATTTTGTTTAAGGACCCCATGTTGTTACTGTTGATGGGTCATTTTTCCAGCAGCATTTGCAATTGTTGAGCAAGACACTTTTAGCTATAAAACTGTGTTAACCTTTCATTCCTCAACTCTTTGTTGACAGTACACAAGTTATCATATAGCCGGCATGGGAGTATGAGGTACAGTTCTAATTTCAGCTTACCCTCTGGCTCGTTCTATAACCTTGAAAAAATCACTTGGAAGCCTGTGCCAAAGACCTGCCATCTGTAACTTAGGGCTGGTTGGTAACCCTCCTAGGCCTGAGTCAGTGGACGCCATGAATTCTAGTGTTGGGCATTTAAGAAATTCAACCTGCTCACTAAGACTCACTTACACAAGAATTCTTTTGACTTTTTGTCACAGACCAGACTTCTTGATCAAATTATTGCTACAATGTTTTCTAAAATAACACTCCAACCCACATGGAATAATTTTTCTAAGTATGATTGACCTAATTCTTTCTAGTCCTGCTACTAACAGAGAGTGGGGATAAATTTTTTCATCTTACATATTTATTTCCATTACCTTCATTTATTTCCAGGATGCATGTGAACATCATGACCATTGAATTTCCCTGTGAAAAGTGCTAAACCAGGATCCATTCATCCTATTTCAGTGCATGGGAAGGGGTCAATATTGCTAGGAAAAAAATAATTAAAAAAATTCATACATTTAAGCCCTTCATAAACTCATAATACCTACATTTACTTCATGTTATCTTCTTATCCTTACATTAGACAGTATCAGCTAGAAACTCCCTTCCCCTAGTAATCTAAATAAGACTATCCCCAAGATTACCAGTCATTTCCCAGGGGCCCTTATTCTTCTGTTTCCATGTATGCTTTTCACTGTTCTAATGGCCTCAACCTCAGCTTGTTCTTTAGTTTCTGCAAAACTATTTATACAAGCTTTCGTGATGTTTTAAGATTTGGGGAAACAACTTAAAATGTATATTTCAGATATTCCTGTTCCTTAAAAATTCCATTTTCCCATCCTTTTACCAGAGATTTCCCACTAATCCTTCACTTTATGCAGCAACTCAGACTTCCTCCTGCCTTCTCTCTCCATTCCTTTCTTGCGTGTCCAATCTTCCCATTCCTCTCTCCCTGTTTCCGGAGCAAAAACAAGTTCCTCCCATGCTTTCATGTTGAGCAGCTCTTCCTGTGTTACGAGGGTTTCCACTCATACCCCTGTTTTCAGAGGCTCACCTTATACCAGAAACAGCTTATCAGAGAGTTATTCTTTGCCCCTGAGAGGAATCCTACTTCCATTTACAGTAGAATATATCCTCTGTATTCATGGAGGATGGGTTCCCCTTTAGACATCAAAATCCACATGTGCTCCCCTACGTTTATAGCAGCACTATTTACAATAGCTAAGCTATGGAAACAACCCAAATGCCCAAAAATAGATGACTGGATCAAGAAGATGTGGTACATATACACCATGGAATATTACTCAGCAATCAAAAAAGATAATCACATGCAGTTTGCAGTAACACGGATGGAGCTGGAAGGGATCATGCTCAGCGAAATAAGCCAGAAAGAAAAAGAAAAATACCAGATGGTCTCACTCATAGCAGGAATTTAGAAAACCTAAGTAAGGGACCAGGAAAAAGACTAATTAATACAAAGTAAAAATCAAAATCAACAAGCAACTATAAACTAGAGACACACTACGGTGGGAGGAGGGGGGGTGGGTAGATGGGGGGAGAGGAAGGATTAGGGTCAAAATAAGGGGGGGTGCAATTGTATGGGGAATATAACCAAAATGAAAATGCATACATTGTGCAAAAATGAAAAATGATGTAAGAATTATATAAAATAAAATATTAAAAAAAATCCACATGTGCTCAAGTCCCTTTTATAAAATGGCACAGTTTTTGCATATAACCTGGAACAACTTTCCATAGACTGTGAATCACCTCTAGATTACTTACAATATCTAATACAACCTTGTGTCACATAACAGTGTATTAGTCAATGACTACTGCATATACGATGGTGGTCCCCACATTCCTACTGCCTAGTGAGGTTGTAGCTAACATGTGTGTCTGTGTCTTAGTTTTAACAAGAGTTTAAAAAGTTTGAAAAAACTTATTTAAAAATGGAAAAAAGCTTATAGATAAAAACTTTTTGTGTAAGTGTACAATGTGTGTTTTAAATTGTTATTTTAAGAATCTGAAAGTAAAAAAGAAATTAAGTCTATATAGTAAAAAGACTACAGTAGCGAGGTTATGGTTGATGAAATAAAACAATTTTTAAAATAATTTTAGTGTAGCGTACATATGTAGTGTTTATGCAGTCTACAGTGGTGCACCCTAATGTGGTACGCCTTCATGTTCACCCACCACTCACTCACTGACTCACCAGAGCAACCTCCAGTTCTGCTCACCCCTTTCACAGGAAGTCCCCTACAAGTGTAGATTTTATTCTGTATTTTTCCATGTTTAGCTATGTTAGACACACAAATACTATTGTGTTACAATTGCTTCCACCATTCAGTACAATCCCATGCTATGCATATTTGCAACCTAGGAGCACAGTCTAGATCATTCAGCCTAGATGTGTAGTAGGTTATACAATGCAGGTTGGTGTAAGTGCACTCTCTTAAGTTTGTATAACTGTGATATTGCAATGAGGAATCTCCCAGAACACACCCATTTTGTTAAGCAATGCATGACTATATAATATAAATGCTGTGTAACTAGTTGTCATATTGAATTATTTAGGGAAAAATGACAAGAAAAAAGTCTGTACATGTTCAATATCAATGCAGCAACTATTATAGGCAACTATTATATTTATACTATGTATAAAATATATACATATTATATATTTTAGATGCCAGGTTTGCTCAATCCACAGATGTGGAGCCTTGCAGATACAGAGGGCTGGCTGTATTAGTAAATAGTAAATGTCTTCATTATGCTCAACAATGTATATTTACTTTTGTATGCTTATCAGCATTTACAGACTAATTTCAATTCTACTTTTCTCCTTATTTTGCATATACTTTCCCATCTATTTGCTATTTTAATATACATCCTCCCAACTATTAGGTAGCTGAGTTATTTCCAGTTTTGTTTTGCATTATGAATAGTGCAGCTGTAAACATTTAGTGAAAATTGATTTTCTTATTTGTATTATTTTGAGGGACTATATTCCCAATTGTGAGTTATGGGACATACATGAATAATTTTATAGATCTTGTGCTTTGCCACTGTATTTTCAAAAATAGTTGTCCTAATAAATAATTTTATCAGTGTATGAGTTTAGCTATTTTTCTTAGTTCTGCCAAGATTCTCTTTTGTAATTTCCAATTAGTCTAGCAGCAAGGCTAATCATTTCCCCAAGATTTCCCAAGATTATCTTCTCTGAGTTTTTCCTCCAGATTCATAATTTATTGTACAAATTATCTCATGATGAGTTGACATTACCCTTCTCCAGGCTTAGGAACTAATAGATGAGGTATAGTCTAGAATCTGTTCATGTTGTTTTCACAACTGGAGTTTTTTAGAACTCAACTTTAAATATAAGATCTTCAAAGCACTTCCTCCCTATGTGACCAGCAAACAGTTCAATCTACCTGTGAGAGTATAAGAGCTGAAATATTTTTCAATACCAGTGAACTGGAAGGGGGCATCGGCTTCTGAACCTGTCACAACTTTAATCTCACAGATTGTATCCTTCAACCTGTGAAGGGTTGCACCTACCTCTCAGTCTAGCAGGAAGATCTCTGAGTTTTGTGTCAGAGTGGGAAAAAAACAATTTAATGGGACTGCAAAAACTAATTTAATGGAATACTACATGATCATTAAAAGAATGAAAAACAGTGCACTATGTACTGGTAGGAGAAGAAAAGCTTGGTTGTTGAACTGTGTATGGTGTGTGTGAAATTAGTGGCCTAAGAGAAAAGAAAACTGGGGGGCAGAAGATAATAGAGGTTTTCTTCTCATTGTATATCATATATTCTTGACACTATTAAAAAATTTAAGTTTTTAAATAGTCATTTTTAACAAATAAGAAAAAGAAAATTGCTATGTACTCTGTTCTCCATAGTGAGTCACGGCCATCAGAATTCCAGGATGACAAAACTGAAATTTATATAGTTCGGGCCTGGCTGAAATCTCCCCGATTCTACTCCCAGCCTCTATTGCAAAACATTATAGCTGATATGGGAAAACATCTTGCATGGGTTCCCCTAGATACCCTGACTCCGAATCTGCTCAACCCCACTGAATGGAAGATCCTTTAAAAGAATGGGGCTTTTTTTCCATTCCCTCGTGTCCTGAATAACCATGGGTGGCACTCAGCCAGCGTTCTTGTCTGAAAAGCAAAGCAAAGCAAAAATCCCACAGAAGCATGTCCCGAAGGTCTTAGACTCACAGATCTTAAGTTTTGGAATGTGCTTGGCCTCCTTGCCCCTCACTCACCTGACACACCTTCCCCAGGTGGGCAACCGGGAAACCTGGAAGACCCCGGGCTGGGGGCCCGGCCCCGGGAGCCTCGGGGGCGCGGGCGTCTCCTCCTGCTCTCGCCCCGCCCCCGGCTTCCCGCGCTCCACGCCCATTGGCCGTTGTTGGGAGTGGGCGGGCCCTAGAGCGCGTCCGGGCGCCCGGGGGCCGCGGGGGCGGCAGCGCTCGGCGCTGGGAGCCGCGCTGGTGCTTCGCCTGCCGCCGGCGATGCCCGAGGACCGTGTCTCTGCCGAGGCTTCCACCCGGGCAGCAGCCGGGGCCGCCGCGGCGAACCGGGTCTCCGAGACCACCGCGGCGCCGGGGACTTCGGACTCGCTGAAGCGGTGAGCCCGGGCCGCCTGGCTCCGCCTCAGCGTCCTCAGGGGCAGTTGGCAGCGGGCGGGCGGGCGGGCGGGCCGGCGGGGTCCGCGCCCGCATCCGCGCGTCGCGGGCTCCGGGCTGCCCAGCGGTGACGGCCCCTCCGCCCTCGGCCTGGCTTTGGCCCAGATCGACTTCTGTGCGCGCAGGCGGCGGGCGGTCAGCGAAGAGCCGCGGAAAGCCTCGCGGGCGGCACCTGTCCGGCTTCCCGGTCCCGGCAGCTCTTCCTTCCCGGGTCTGGACGGGCGCGGGCATCCTGCAGGCTGCGTGCAGTAGGTGACCAGTTCCCCTGCAGGGGGCATGGGGAGGGGGCGACGAGGGTCGCAAAAGAGCGTGGTGTTTGCCTATCAGTCGTAGAAAAGGCTCCGACGAGCTTGAACTAGATTGCTCTTAGAAAAACCCATTGGTTTGCAGAATTGCATAATACGCTGTATCTCATCCAGAAATAGTTTGGGATGTCAGTGTAGTCATTTGAATGCAAATTGACACTTTGCGTCCTCAGTAAGTTTCAGGCTGTCGTACTTTAGCTAATGGATTCCTTTCATTAAAGGGATTTATTAAAGCACAGAAAAAGAAAAGGAACCGTTCATTAGTGTTTCGAGGTCCCCAATTTTGAGGGATTTCCGCCCCCCCCCCTCGCTTTCACCCCCTCCATTTGCTTAGGATTGCATTCATTCACAACTGCATACCCAGATTCCAGGGCTTGGAATGCTGTAAATAGCGGGTGTTCAGGACCCCGAATCCCACTTGATAGCAGAGGGAAAGTCGGCGATTCGGGGAGAACCGCTCAGCCTGTGGACACCCCATGGTCCCCTGCGCTGGAGAGACTGCTCTCCCCCCGGGGAGAGCTGGAGGACGCCCGGCGGGTCGGGTTGTTTATTGCAGTCGTTTGTTTGCTCCCAGAGTCCCCAGAAGGCGAGCTGCTTACCTGTTATGACCCTGCTCACGTCCCTGCGGGGTCCACTCGTAGCAGCACCAGCTCTTTCTTCTGTGGCCTGCGTCGGCCTCCAGTCCTCTCGCGGAAGCAGGCTAAGCAGACTTTTATTTATTTATTTATTTTTTTCTTTTACTTTCTACTTTTCATCTACCAAGCATTTTTTTTTATTTTATTTTTTTAATTAATAAATTTTATTTTTATATTCCCCATACAATTGCAATCCCCCCATTCTGACCCCAATCCCTCCCCTCCCGCCCCCCACCCCCCAAAAAGTGTCTCTGGTTCATAGTTTTTGTTGATTTTGATTTTCACTTTCTTATAGTTATTCATTTTCCTGGTCCCTTATTTAAGTTTTCTACATCCCTGCTATGAGTGAGACCATCCGGTATTTTTCTTTTTCTTTCTGGCTTATTTCGCTGAGCATGATCCCTTCCAGCGTCATCCATGTTGCTGCAAATTGCATGTGTTTATCTTTTTTGAATGCTGAGTAATATTCCATGGTGTATATGTACCACATCTTCTTGATCCAGTCATCTATTTTTGGGCATTTGGGCTGTTTCCAAAGCTTAGCTATTGTAAACAGTGCTGCTATAAACATAGGGGTGCAGGTGTTCTTTGGAATTGATGTTTCTGTGTTCTTTGGGTAAATACCTAGGAGTGGAATCTAAGCAGACTTTTAAATTAAGTTGTTCTGACAGCCCAATAACCAGAATTGTATCCTCTTCCAATCTTTGTGTTTTTGTGCGAGTTGGTGGGAGCCTGTAGTGGAGAGAATGGTAGACCTTTTTGCGGAACCGAAGTCCTAGGGTGTCATGCTTCTTGGCGCTCCTTTCCGGGTTCAAGTTCTGGTGACATAGTTCCAGCCTGATTTGTCCTTCCCCAAGCCTCTGTTGGTTAGGATTACCTATTTCTTATCCCGTAAGGATTATGAAAAGGAATTGTTGGCTTGAAAGTATGGTGCTGGAATTTAGTTTGCCCCCGTTCAGAGGATCAGAAAATTATGGATTTTTAAAAATGAGGGCGTACTGAAGATCCTAGAATACTGCAGTTATTGTTCTTATTAGGCAGTTGGAGAATATAAATGATGCTCTGTTTTATCCAACAATTAGAAAAAAGTATTAAGTGTTTTTAATGCATCCTTTAAAATTGCCCATGATGCTGTGAATTCTCTTGTAAAATAAAAAAAAGTACTTTTAGTTTATCTTTTCTATAAACTTTTTTTGCCTATGCTGAGAGGACTTGAGTAGTGTTTTGTTGCTCCTAGTTGTCAAGATTCCTAGTGACTTCTTGTTTAAACTTTGTGTATTTTGGGAGATGAGGTGAGGAAGCTTTAAAAGTAGTTCTTTCTCTTTTGCCTCTGGCAATTTTGTGGTGGTAAGGAGAACATGTTTAGTACTAATTTGTGAGACTAGAATGATTTAAAGAATTTTGGGGAAATAGTTCTTCTTTTTTAAAAAATTTGCACTGTGATTGTGCTTTCTAGAATTGTATAGTATACTATATCTTACCCCAAAATAGTTTGTATGTCAGGATAATCATTTGAATGCAACACTGACACTTATATTTCCTAAAGTTTTCTAACATTTTGTGGTAATACACTATATTAAAGAAATTTGCAAAACAGAGGTAAAAGAAAAAGCACGTGTAGAGTTTTGAGTCATCAATTTTGAAAGATTATTTTTTCCAATTTGCTTAGACCTGCTTTTATCCACAACTACATATTCAGGTTCCAAATTTGTATTCTGAGTTTGTTTTCTTTGCTAAGTTATTGGCTTGTTTCAAGCAAGTTATGTACATTTTTGAGGCAAATCAGCAGTGAGCTAGAGAGATCATTTAAAAGGCTTCCCACTTTGATCCCAGTTTGGTTTCCCTACCAAAATGGACAGTGACTGATAGTTTTTTGAAGTTCAACACTGCCCTGAGTTTAGAGAGCATCAAAATAAGTAAGCCTCAGTCCTCTATTCTTGTTGGAGAGACAGCCGTAGACATAGTGAGTCACTATACTGTGTGGTAGGCACTATACTTAGGAGAAGTAGTAGTGCCATGTGGAATCACAAAGGAGACGGCAATGAATTTAGCATTTCACCAGGGCCATGGAGGACAACTAGAATTTAACTACATTAGTTTTCCCATTTAGTCAAATAGGGGAACTTCTGATTTACTTCCAAATAATAAACTAATTTCCTATATGGTCCCCAGATTTAGGCTCCTGGTATTCACACCCTTATGTCGGCTCCACTCACATTGTATGAGGATTGGGCTGGATACCTATATATACATGGAAGAAATGGCTGTGTGGTTTCCAGGGCTTGGTCATAAAAGAAATTGCTGCTCACACAGTGGTGTCTTGGCTTGCTTGCTGTGAGGTTAACCAACTGTCATGTAACCAGCTACACTCTGTAGCTCTATGAAAAGGCTCATAGGGCAGGAAACTGAATTTACTCTGAGCTATAGTCACCCAGTCCGAAAGCTATTTCTTAGCTTCCCTGGCAGCTACGTTTATCTTTGTTGACTAAGTTCTTAGGAGCAGAAGAGAGATGTGCAACTTCTTATGCTGGCCTCCTCAATCTTTTTTTTTTTTTTTTTTTTCGTTATCAGTTCTGTAAGGAGCCTTTTAAAACATTTTCCCCCTAGTTGCCCCCATGAAGTTATAAAAACCATTCTATAGCTGCTTGTACACTGTATCTGAGTATCTGTGATTTATTCACAAAAAGACTTAACTTTTCTTCTATCCTTGTATCCCCCAAGAACTAGATTTTGCTCCCTTGGGGATAATATTATCCCTGTGGAAAGAGCATCCTTTAAAAGAATTGGGTTTTCTCTTCCTGCCTTCTCTTTTATCCTTCATGTGGTTGGAAGGCAGATGTGTGCAGTGACTTCAAACCTGCAGACAAAGAGAAAGCAGGCAACGAAAGAGAAGGAACCTGGAAGCTTAGACAACATCTCAGAACAAAGCTGCTTGCCCATGTGTAGGTAGTTCATTTAGAAAGAAACACTTTGATTTCATTTGAATTGTCTTATTTTGGTACCTTTCCCATAGTCTGTACTCTGACAGATAAGGTCCCATCTCTTCAAAATTGCTTAGAAATTTAAAAAATCTTTAGTTAGTTTTGTGTCGCAAGGATCCACTTACCTATGAATATAGAAATGTTATTTACCCTTCTTCCATTTGCAAACACCTTATGATACCAGGACTGCAAATTGTATAAAAATGTGGACTTTTGTAGGCGGTATCTTATAATTACTGAACCGAGGTGTTACCATGCTTTATTTCATTGCATATATTGATAGTTGCTGCAGTTTTTTTTTTTTTTAACCATTAGTTTTGAAGCAGTAGAATATAATAAGAACACAAACTGGATCTACTCTAGGTACAGTTTTCTCATCTGTGAAATTGGTCTAATGGTAGTACTTACCTCCCAGGGGCTTGTGAGGGTTAAATGAAGCAGTGCTTATAAGTTATTAAGCATATCGCCCAACTTACACTGTGTCGATGATTACTGTTATTACGTTAGACCATTTGTAGGTACATTTCAGAAACTCAAAAGGATAATATTTAAGAATTTAATTCTCAAAACTTCGGTCAATGATAATATAAAGAATTTTTACCAGACTGAAAAGCTTGACAGAATTGCAACCTTTATGTTTGGATTATGATCAAGTTATTTGCACACTTAGCAAAAAATCATTGCTGTTCAGCATTTAAAATGTAATTATTATTTTTACCAGTTGGCCT